ATAAGTTATTTCGATGCAACTGAACGTCTGAATGATGGTTGATGTAAGCGTTGTGTTGATGAAGTTAAACTGGGTCATAAATTACGAGTTACAACACATATATCTTTTCAAATTCCATCAAACGTAAATTAAGCAGTTTTTATTAAATCGCCAAGGACAAGTAGATTAAATGCTTACGCTAGAGAGAGTGTCAAGTTACACTGTGAGAATCGGCGCACAGCTGTAATAACGCTGAGTAATCGAATTATTAGTGCGAAGGAAATTATTAAGGAAGCAATAAATTAAAAGTTTCAATTTAAAATAATAGGATTTATTAACATTTAACGTAAGCGCGTGCGCAAGAAATTAGAAATATTTTTGGGGAATAATACAACTTAATTTATCCCAATTAATCGAACGCGAATATATTGAAACGTTTTAACAGCGGAAGTTGCTCCCCCGCGGAGCGATGATAAATACGATGACGACGACGACGATGACGTCGACGCTCGTATGCTTATCAGCGGAAGTTGCTCCCCCGCGGAGCGATGACTTAATTGAAATAATAATATTAAATTAAGGAGTTTAGTATTATTTAACTTGTTCTTCGTTAACATATACTACAATGGCTTTGAACAACGTACCTTCACTGAAAGAGTTGGCTTAAACTAAAATCAACTTAAAATTATCGAAACGTATACATGTGCTGGCACTAGTTCAATATTTACCTTGGAAAGTAGTGTTAGAGTTGTGGAACACGTGGTTCCAGGATAATTGGTTCGAGCTTGGGGCACATAAAAAATGTTCCGATGATGTGGACGTGAGGGGCATTACAATAGATGTATTTAATTTCAACCTGAATCATACGTTGCAATGCGCCCTATTCAGGAATGTAGAAATTTTCAGGTAAATTAGAAATTAAAATATAGTATATAAAGCTAACTGAAATTTTAATAATACTTTAGCGACGNTAAATTGGTAAACTTTCGTGGAGAAGAAATTGTTATTAGATTAGAATTAAAACGAACTTCATAATGGGGCTGTTGTTCCAATTAAAAGCCACCGATCCTCAACAGCGTTCATCTATCAAAAGAAAACATTATAACTCAGGTGGAAAGAGAACATCTAGATCAGTTAAAAGAAAGACTTCATTGCGAGCGGACAACAGACGTTTTCTCGAGCAGTTGGGTTATCATGTCCACACAAAAGTTAAATATATACCGCGAACCCATCGTGGATAATTCGATCGCTAGAGAAGAAGTGCATAGTTACCATCCTTCCACAAATTCTTTTCAAAATAACGATATATTCACCATTGAACTAAACCAAGAAGATGTTTTATTTTCGTTCTTCGAAAGTTATATACGTATTGAGGGAGATTACAAAGAAAAATTAAACGATCCAACTGATACTATCCAGCTAACGCACAACTTACCAACATATCTATTTGAGTATATCGCATTTGAGCATAACGGTACTGAAATCGAACGGGTACGTGAACCCGGTTTAACATCATTGATTCGAACCCTACTTCAACAAAACGAAGTGGAATGCAAATCTTTAGAAATAGCTGGTTTAAAATGGCCACCCGAAGGAAATTTGCCTACAGTTAGTGCGAACAAGGATTTCACGTTTCAAATCCCATTAAGTCATATTTTCGGATTATTTAGAGACTATAATCACG